TTTATTTACAGGCTCTAGGAAGAGTCAACTTAGATTTAGTTTATAATTAAGTCTGAATAATTATCATAAACTTAAGTCACATGGTTTAAACTTTTTTCTATATATTTTTAAATCTTTGAATTTAATCGAAAAAGTGATTTTTCTAGATCGCAGAAATCAGGTTTAACGATTTTCAACCAAATTTTTGTTTTTCAAATTAATTTCTTTGTTGGTCGGTTGTTTCTACACAATTGATAGGGACTAGACGACTAGCTTAAGTAGATTAACGTAGAATTTATTTTATCATGATATCAAACAAATTGACAAGATGGGTGTGTAATTCAAAATAACAATTAGCCGTACCTAGGGATGTTATCGTTTTCATTTTTTTGAAAAACGATCATTTCGTTATGAAAACGACGATGAAAAATCGAGAACAAAACGATCGTATTTATAAAAAGTTCGTTTTTTAAAAATAGTCTTTTTCAAAACGATCGTTTTTATAAAAATCGTCGTTTCTTTAACGTCGAACCTTCGTTAAATATCGTTAACGATGAACCTTTGTTAACGATCTTTAACGACGAACCTTTGTTAACGATCGTTAACGACGACCCTTTGTTAACGATCGTTAACTACGACCCTTCGTTAAAGATCGTTAACGAAGACAGGAAACCGACCTGAAGGGCATCTGAACTTATCATTGAGTAGGTTTTAAGAAAATATCAAGAAGTTTTAGCTCTCCCACAACTTTTTACCTTCGTGTAAGACGACATTTAATAAAGTTGCATGTAATTTTTTAAGTTTGTTGTCTCGTTAACGATCGTTAACGCAAACCCTTCGTTAACGATCGTTAACATAATTGTCAATAATATTTTTTTTCAAAAACTATCGTTTTTTCAAAGGCGATCGTTTTTAAAAAACAATCGTTTAAAAACAGTCACAAACGTTTTCTAAAACGATCCTTATTCGTTTTTAAAAGTTCAAAAAGAGTGGGTCGTTTTAAAAAACAATCGTTTTTTCCAAAAACGAAACTATCGTTTTAGAAAAAGATTGAAAAACGAAACAAAAAACGATCGTAACAACCCTAGCCGTACCTTCAATACAACTTAAATTTGCTTAAATGCTTAAATTGAAAATTAAATGGCACCAAATTAGCACTTTGCTCGCAGAGTAAAGATAGTGCAGAGCATTTGTAAATGTAATATCCCAGAGTTTATCAAAGTATTTATTAACCTAAAGGGTGTTCACCCAAAAACCTGTTTTTAAGTTATAGGTTCTCAAACCATTAAGAATTGAACAAAATTAATCTTTCAATAAACAATACATTTAGTTACATCTAACAGGGGACGAGAAAAAAACATTCCTCGCTTTATTTCGAATATACCCTCACGAACCATTCATAATGCTATGTAGGCTATAGGGTATAAATCTATGTATAGCCTGGGGGCGCCATCCCCCTATAAAAAGGCTTTAGAGAAAAGCTATAGGGTTGAAATGCATGTTCATAGCCCAATTTTTCAATGTAAACGTGTATAAAAAATATTAATTACTACAGAGGTTGTGTATAAATGTGTATAAAGTATATTGAATACTAGAGAGGTTGTGTATAAATGTGTATAAAGTATATTAAATACTAGAGAGGTTGTGTATAAATGTGTATAAAGAATATTAAATACTAGAGAGGTTGTGTATAAATGTGTATAAAGAATATTGAATACTAGAGAGGTTGTGTATAAATGTGAATAAAGAATTTTGAATACTAGAGAATGTGTATAAAGAATATTGAATACTAGAGAGGTTGTGTAAAAATGTGTATAAAGAATATTGAATACTAGATAGGTTGTGTATGAATGTGTATAAAGAATGTTGAATACTAGAGAGGTTGTGTATAAACATGTATAAAACATATTAATTACTAAAAAGGTTGTGTTTAAATGTTTAAAAAGTATATTGAATACTAGAGAGGTTTGTGTATAAATGTGTATAAAGAATATTGAATACTAGAGAGGTTGTGTATAAATGAGTAAAAAGAATATTGAATACTAGAGTGGTTGTGTATAAATGTGAATAAAGAATATTGTATACTAGAGAGGTTGTGTATAGTGTATAAAGTATATTGAATACTAGAGAGGTTGTGTATAAATGTGTATAAAGTATATTAAATACTAGAGAGGTTGTGTATAAATGTGTATAAAGAATATTAAATACTAGAGAGGTTGTGTATAAATGTGAATACAAAATATTGGATACTAGAGAGGTTGTGTATAAATGTGTATAAAGTATATTGAATACTAGAGAGGTTGTGTATAAATGTGAATAAAGAATATTGAATACTAGAGAGGTTGTGTATAAATGTGAATAAAGAATATTGAATACTAGAGAGGTTGTGTATAAATGTGAATAAAGAATATTGAATACTAGAGAGGTTGTGTATAAATGTGTATACAAAATATTGAATACTAGAGAGGTTGTGTATAAATGTGTATAAAGAATATTGAATACTAGAGTGGTTGTGTATAAATGTGTATAAAGAATATTGAATACTAGAGAGGTTGTGTATAAATGTGTATAAAGAATATTGAATACTATAAGAGAGGTTGTGTATAAATGTGAATAAAGAATATTAAATACTGAAAAGAACTTAATCTTCTAATTGTCAAGTAACTGTGATGGAAGACCTTCCTCCTACTCATCTATATTATTATTCACAAGGAATATCCAGGAGAATATGTATCATTATTTATCAAGGATATCCAGGAGAATATAAATTATTATTAACCAGGGATATTCAGGAGAATATATATTATTATTCCTCAGGGATATTCAGGAGAATATATTATTATTCACCGGGGATATACAGGAGAATATATTATTATTCACTAGGGATATCAAGGAGAATTTATTATTATTCACCAGGGATATTCAGGAGAATATATTATTATTCACCAGGGATATTCAGGAGAATATATTATTATTCACCAGGGATATTCAGGAGAATATATTATTATTCACCAGGGATATCAGGACAATATATTGTTATTCACCAGAGATATCCAGGAGAATATATTATTATTCACCACAGGGATATCAGGACTATATATATTATTATTCAACAGGAATATTCAGGAGAATATATTATTATTTGCCAAGGATATTCAAGAGAATATATTATTCATCACCACGGATATTCAGGAGAATATAGTATTATTCATCAGGTATATTCAAGAGAATATATTATTATTCACCAGGGATATTCAGGAGAATATAGTATTATTCACCAGGGATATTCAGGAGAATATATTATTATTCATCAGGTATATTCAGGAGAATATATTATTATTCACCAGGGATATTCAGGAGAATATATAGTATTATTAACCAGGGATATTTATGAGAATATATTACTATTCACCAGGGATATTCAGGAGAATATATTATTATTCATCACCAGGGATATCCTGGAGAATATATTATTATTCACCAGGGATATCCAGGATAATATATTATTATTCCCCAGGGATATCCAGGACTATATATTATTATTTACCAGAGATATTCAGGAGAATATATTATTATTTACCAGGGATATTCAGGAGAATATATTATTATTTGCCAAGGATATTCAAGAGAATATATTATTCATCACCAGGGATATTCAGGAGAATATAGTATTATTCATCAGGTATATCCTAGAGAAATATATCATTATTCATCCAGGAGAAATGTATTATTATTCTTACCCAAAACATAAAAAATGTTTTTTACAAAAAAATCCTTTAAATTTCTATTCATTAAAAGTAACACAATTTCACAAAATTAAAGTGCTAGGACGAAAAAACTAGAGGAGGGGGTANCACAGCAGTGCTCTAGAATTTACAGAGTCTCCTTGTCGATTTTCAACAGTGCTCCAAAAATCTCTTTATCTTATCAAGAAAATGAGCTGTCCATAATCTTCTCTTGATTATTGATTGTTTTAAAATGTTGTTTCTCCGTTGTGACAATGAAGAAAATTGTCACAATGGAACACTTTTTAAGCTAAACAAACGGCAATTACTCCTACAATTATTCATCAGATAAATGTTAAAAGGAGTACGGTTGTGAATCGACGGCCTGCAACTCCGTAAATGTAAGATCTGTAGAAATTACAGAAAGAAAAAAAAATAACATTATTGTCTGATGTTCTAAGAGAGAGAAGGGTTTTCCTTTCAATTAACAAACAATATTTTTCCGTCTATAACTTTTTGTCGTTTCAGATTTAAACGCTCAAAAAGTAACAAACTTTAAGCGAACGGTTTACAATAATTTTGTTTTGAATTTTGATTACGATAATATATATTTTTGCTTCCATCAAAAATTTTTTAAATCTTTAATTTTAGCTCAGAGTACTGTGGGATATTAGTCTATTCTGTTTTTTTTGTTTTTTTTTTTAAATGTAATTTTAGCTAAGAATACTACGGGTTATTAGTTTATCTGTTTTTTTATTTTTTTTTAAATGTAATTTTAGCTCAAAGTACTATGGGATATTAGTCTATTCTGTTTTTAAAGTTTTTTTTAAATGTAATTTTAGCTCAAAGTACTAAGGTTGAACATAAGCCTGCCCTAACTAAGATTGAACATAAGCCTGCCCTAACTAAGGTTGAACATAAGCCTGCCCTAACTAAGATTGAACATAAATAAACCTGCCCTAACTAAGATTGAACAATAGTCTGCCCTAACTAAGATTGAACATAAGCCTGCCCTAACTAACGTTGAACATAAGCCTGCCCTAACTAAGGTTGAACATAAGCCTGCCCTAACTAAGGTTGAACATAAGCCTGCCCTAACTAAGGTTGAACATAAGCCTGCCCTAACTAAGATTGAACATAAATAAACCTGCCCTAACTAAAATTGAACATAAGCCTGCCCTATCTAAGGTTGAACATAAGCCTGCCCTAACTAAGGTTGAACATAAGCCTGCCTTAACTAAGATTTAACATAAGCCTGCCCTAACTAATGTTGAACATAAGCCTGCCCTAACTAAGATTGAGCATAAGCCTGCCCTAACTAATGTTGAACCTAAGCCTGCCCGTACTAAGATTGATCATAAGCCTGCCCTACCTAAGGTTGAACATAAACCTGCCCTAACTAAGATTGGACATAAGCCTGCCCTAACTAAGATTGGACATAAGCCTGCCCATACTAAGGTTGAACATAAGCCTGCCCTAACTAAGGTTGAACATAAGTGTGCCCTAACTAAGATTGAACATAAGCCTTCCCTAACTAAGATTGAACATAAATAACCTGCCCTAACTAAGATTGAACATAAGCCTGTCCGTACTAAGGTTGAACATAAGCCTGCCCTTTCTAAGGTTGAACATAAGCCTATCCTAACTAAGGTTGAACATAAGCCTACCCTAACTAAGATTGAACATAAGCCTACCCTAACTAAGATTGAACATAAATAACCTGCCCTAATTTCTAAAACAAATCTCTTTAATTTCGGTCTCATTTTGAGGTTTAAAGGGTCTTATTACCGTTGTTAGTAAGGGTTGTAACTTTTCAAATACAGGTTCACATGAAAAAATGTTAACAGTCCCTTTAATAGGTAAATGTTTGTATTCTGCAGCAAGGATATATCTATAGTTTAGATAAGAAATATTGGTTTGGAAATTCTGCAGTGTTTCAATCAGACTCCAGGTAAAAAATAGAAACTTAGAACTAATTAATTAACTCTAGGGTTAATATTTTAGCTTGTGCTATTTCTTAGCATCAACTAGTGATACTACTTTTCGTAATGTTTTGCTAACGTGTGATTTTATAGATCTTTCATAATTTTTAACATTTTCTATAATTTTCATATTATTGACAAGCTTGATATATGGAGAGATGCTATTGTATATTGTAATATTTTTCGCCAGCTTCATATAAACATTATGTATAGTGATGTATTTCTCCAATATTGCTATTTCCAGAACTTAATAATGTTTGTATACTGCCCCCCCCCCCTTTAACCTGCAAGGTGCAATGTAGAGTATACTGCCCCCCCCCCCTCTCCATTCACTCTTCACTTGACAGCAGACTGAGCACTCAAAGCTTTAATGATCTAATATGACTTTTTTGTTTTAAGAAAAAATCGAAAACTCGGTCCGATTGAATCACAACCCCCTTACGCGAAAACAGTGCCTTCATTTTACATTTTCAAGTCATTAGATAGATTTAAAGAACTTGAAATATTAACCAGTAAAAATGGTTCAGTAACGTTTTGCCTACATAGTTTGTAAAATGTTATCTAGGTAAAACGTGCCTTGGCAAAATATTAATTAGGAAAAATGTTGTCTAGGCGAACTTGAACTCGACGAAAGTGTACTAGGCTAACTTGAACTCGACGAAAGTGTACTAGGCGAACTTGAATTCGACGAAAGTGTACTAGGCGAACTTGAATTCGACGAAAGTGTACTAGGCGAACTTGAACTCGACGAAAGTGTACTAGGCGAACTTGAACTCGACGAAAGTGTACTAGGCGAACTTGAACTCGACGAAAGTGTACTAGGCGAACTTGAACTCGACGAAAGTGTACTAGGCGAACTTGAACTCGACGAAAGTGTACTAGGCGAACTTGAACTCGACGAAAGTGTACTAGGCGAACTTGAACTCGACGAAAGTGTACTAGGCGAACTTGAACTCGACGAAAGTGTACTAGGCGAACTTGAACTCGACGAAAGTGTACTAGGCGAACTTGAACTCGACGAAAGTGTACTAGGCGAACTTGAACTCGACGAAAGTGTACTAGGCGAACTTGAACTCGACGAAAGTGTACTAGGCGAACTTGAACTCGACGAAAGTGTACTAGGCGAACTTGAACTCGACGAAAGTGTACTAGGCGAACTTGAACTCGACGAAAGTGTACTAGGCGAACTTGAACTCGACGAAAGTGTACTAGGCGAACTTGAACTCGACGAAAGTGTACTAGGCGAACTTGAACTCGACGAAAGTGTACTAGGCGAACTTGAACTCGACGAAAGTGTACTAGGCGAACTTGAACNTAAACTCTAATACTAGATACTACCCATCTAAACTCTAATATTGGATAATACTCATCTGAACTCTAATATTAGATACTACCCATCTAAACTCTAATACTGGATACTATCTATCTAAACTCTAATATTGGATACTACCCATCTAAACTCTAATATTGGATACTACTCATCTGAACTCTAATCATAGATACTACCCTTCTAAACTCTAATACTAGATACTACCCATCTAAACTCTAATATTGGATACTACTCATCTGAACTCTAATGCTAGATACCACCCATCTAAACTCTAATGCTAGATACTTACCATCTAAACTCTAATATTAGATACTACCCATCTAAACTCTAATACTAGATACTACCCATCTAAACTCTAATATTGGATACTACTCATCTGGACTCTAATAATAGATACTACCCTTCTAAACTCTAATACTAGATACTACCTCTAAACTCTAATACTAGATACTACCCATCTAAACTCTAATATTGGATACTACTCATCTGGACTCTAATACTAGATACTACCCTTCTAAACTCTAATACTAGATACTACCCATCTGAACTCTAATGCTAGATACTACCCATCTAAACTCTAATATTAGATACTACCTATCTAAACTCTAATACTAGATACTACCCATCTAAACTCTAGTATTGGATACTACTCATCTGAACTCTAATATTAGATACTACCCATCTAAACTCTAATATTGGATACTACTCATCTGAACTCTAATACTAGATACTACCCTTCTAAACTCTAATACTAGATACTACCCATCTAAACTCTAATATTAGATACTACCCATCTAGACTCTAATACTGGATATCTAAACTCTAATACTAGATACTACCCATCTAAACTCTAATATTAGATACTACCCATCTAGACTCTAATACTGGATACTATCTATCTAAACTCTTATTCTAGATACTATCTATCTAAACTCTAATATTAGATACTACCCATCTAAACTCTAATAATAGATACTAAAAACTGCATGAATGATGGGAATTGACATGAAATGGTCTAAAAGAAGAATAAGTGTCTGAAAGGAAACAGTTAGTTGCAAAAGTTTGTTGCAATCTCTAGATTAATGTTTTTAAATAAATTAATCTAAATTCTCTATAGTTAAAGAAATTATGAAGTGTGAAAGCAAGAAATGAGAAATCTAGAAGCAAAAAAACAATTTCATATTAATATGTCAATAACAGATGTTCCGTATAAATGATTAACAGTATATCTGGAAGAATTAGAAAAGCTGGATAATTACAATATTTGTTTCAGACATTTTTGCATAAACACATAAAACTAAAGGAATTGAGTTTTTGCCACAAACTCAAATCTTCTGAGTCCAATATCTTTGCAGCCTAATGGTGCAAAGCTTTGATATTTCAAACTTAGATTATTTTATTTATAAGTATAAATAGTTTGAACTATCTTAGGTCTACGACATTGGGTTACAAAGATATAGAGATTAGAAAATCAAAGTTTGTGGCAAAAACTCAATTCCTTTATGTATACATTGAGCAGATATGCAATTTTTCTTCAGATTATTTTTGACCTTATTAGTTAACATTTAAAATTTTTTTTAAGTAGGGTTGGGACTGCAGTTCCTTATACATCTTATCTACAGAAACAAGAAATCTATTTTTCGTTACTGAGATGAAATGCAAAAAACTATAATTATTTACAAATCTGAAACCAGTAACTTATAATTATTTACTAAGCTGAAACCAGTAACTTATCATTATTTACTAAACTGAAACCAGTAACTTATCATTATTTACTATACTGAAACCAGTAACTTATCATTATTCACTAAACTGGAACCTGTAACTTATCATTATTTACTAGGCTGAAACCAGTAACTTGAAATTATTTACCAAGCTGAAACCAGTAACTTATAATTATTTACTAAACTGAAACCTGTAACTTATCATTATTTACTAGGCTGAAACCAGTAACTTGAAATTGTTTACCAAGCTGAAACCAGTAACTTATCAATATTTACCAGGCTGAAACCAGTAACTTGAAATTATTTACCAAGCTGAAACCAGTAACTTATCATTATTTACTAAGCTGAAACCAGTAACTTATAATTATTTACTAAACTGAAACCAGTAACTTATCATTATTCACTAAACTGAAACCTTTAACTTATCATTATTTACCAAGCTGAAACCAGTAACTTATCATTATTTACTAAGCTGAAACCAGTAACTTGTAATTATTTACTAAGCTGAAACCAGTAACTTATAATTATTTACTAACTGAAACCAGTAACTTATCATTATTTACTTAGTTGAAACCAGTAACTTATCAATATTTACTAAGCTGAAACCAGTAACTAATCATTGTTTTTTAAGTTGAAACCAGTGACTTATCATTATTTACTAAGCTGAAACCTGTAACTTGTAATTATTTACTAAGTTGAAACCAGAAACTTATAATTATTTACTAAGCTGACACCTGTAACTTGTAATTATTTACTAAGCGGAAACCTGTAACTTATCATTATTTACAAAACTTAAACCTTTAACTTATCATTATTTACAAAGCTGAAACCTTTAACTTATCATTATTTACAAAGCTGAAATCAGTAACTTATCATTATTTACTAAACTGAAACCTGTAAATTATAATTTTTTACTAAACTGAAAATAGAAGCTTATTAATCTCTAAAAACTGAAAAAGTAGAAATCCATATTGTTTTAATAAGATAAAATTAGTAACTTTTCTTCTTTAAAGTGAAACCATAACTCAACAATAAATGATCAGCTGAAAAAGCAGAAAATATATTTTTTTCCTCGTTAAAACCAATTCCTTATTATTTTTACATAGCAGAACTTAAAGTATAAAGTGATTGGAATTAAACAATCTAGGAAGATATCAATTCAAAAAGTTTGTTTACAAAAGAAGAATTTATTTTTCCGTTTGAGTTAAATATTAAATATTTAGGAAAATTAAAAAAGTGTCAATATTTTGAACAGATTAATACAATATAATACAGATTCTTAATAAACCTCCTTCCCCCTACCCTTTCTACTTTTCCCATTACTCCTCCTATCTTTCATTTTTTTATATGATCAAGGATAACGATCAAGGATGGATATGATCAAGGATAAAGATCAAGGATGGATAAGATCAAGGATAAAGATCAAGGATAAAGATCAAGGATGGATAAGATCAAGGATGGACAAGATCAAGGATGTCTAAAATCAAGGATGGATAAGATCAAGAATGGACAAGATCA